ATTTAATTTTCAAATCTTCATGTATCTTCTATTAAATGTACAAAAGAAGACATGTGTCCTTTAAAAAATTAGTACTATGGGAATGAGATGGTACTTAAATAACTCCCTTCTATCTATAGTCCCAGTACTTAGAGCTCTCCTAAAATGATAAGAAGACTGATAATGAAACAACAGAAAGATAATTATATAGAACTTTTTAACACTATGTGTCATCTATATGTATTGTCATAGATACCTATAACTACTTTTAAGTTCATAATATTTATTCAATTAAAAAAATTTGATTAATTTTCTCCCATACACAGATAAATAGTTATAGTCTTCACCCCTTTAGTAAGTGATTAGACTAATCCATGTTCAATTATACCTTTCCTTATTGCAAACATTTTGACCACATTTTATGTACATATAGTAAGTGTATTATCATTTTAAAAATACATCTTTTCCTTCTGGTTAAATTAAGGAAGACACATACTCATTATTTTATATACATTAACAACATTTACTTTAACAAATGGTGATTTGGAATACTTATTAGTAGGTGTCGTATTTCATCATATTCATTCTCAGTTGGCACTATTTGGGCAAAGCTAGTATCTCTCTCTTTTGTGTAAATTATGCAATACTAAGTCACGGGGCTTATTTTAAATTGCATCCCTCTCCATTATCTATTCACTTTCCTGTTTTCTTTCTCTTCATAGCACTCTAACCACGTAACATAATATATAATTAATTTTTTTATTGCTTATATATTTTCACCCTCTAGAATATAATTTCCACAGAGGCAAGGATTTGGTGTATTCTTTTTTTTCCCTACCAAAGTCTTTTATTTTAATTTAATTTTATTTTATTTTTTAATTAATATATAATGTATTATTTGTTTCAGGGGTACAGGTCTGTGTCAACAGTCTTATACAATTCATAGCACTCACCATAGCACACACCCTCCCCAGTGTCCACCACCCACCCACATTACCCCCCCAACCCCCTCCCCTCCAGCAACCCTCAGTTTGTTTCCCAAGATTAAGAGTCTCTTATGGTTTGTCTCCCTCCCCAGTCCCATCTTCTTTCACTTTTCCCTCCCTTCCCCTCAAGATCCCCTGCCCTGCCTCTAAATTTCCTCATATCACTGATCATATGGTAATTGTCTTTCTCTGATTGACTTATTTCACTTAGCATAATACCCTCTAGTTTCATCCACATCACTGCAGATGGCAAGATTTCATTTCTTTTGATGGCTGCATAGCATTCCATTGTATACATATATACCACATCTTCTTTATCCATTCATCTGTTGATGGACATCTAGATTCTTTCCATAGTTTGGCTATTGTGGACATTGCTGCTATAAACATTCAGGTGCATGTGCCCCTTCGGATTACTACATTTGTATCTTTAGGGTAAATACCCAGTAGTGCAATTGCTGGGTCATAGGATAGCTCTATTTTCAACTTTTTGAGGAACCTCTATACTGTTTTCTGGAGTGGCTGCACCAGCTTTTATTCCCACCAACAATGCAGGAGGGTTCCCCTTTCTCTGCATCCTCACCAACTCCTGTCATTTCCTGACTGATTTATTTTAGCTATTCTTTAGCTTCATTTAGCCTCACTGGTGTGAGGGGTTTTGATTAGCATTTCTCTGATGCTGAGTGATGTTGAGCACTTTTTCATGTGTCTGTTGGCCATTTGGATGTCTTTGCAGAAATGTCTGTTCATGTCTTCTGCCCATTTCTTGATTGGATTATTTGTTCTTTGGGTTTTGAGTTTGATAAGTTCTTTACAGATTTTGGATACTAGCTCTTTATCTGATATGCCATTTGCAAGTATCTTCTCTCCTTCTGTTGGTTGTCTTTTGGTTTTGTTGACTGTTTCCTTTGCTGTGCAAAAGCTTGAGATCTTGATGAAGTCCCAATAGTTCATTTTTGCCTTTGCTTCCCTTGTCTTTGGCAATGTTTCTAGGAAGAAGTTGCTGCGGCTGAGGTTGAAGAGGTTGTTGTCTGTGTCCTCCTCAAGAATTTTGATGGATTCCTGTCTCACATTTATGTCTTTCATCAATTTTGGGTCTATTTTTGTGTGTTGTGTAAGGAAATGGTCCAGTTTCATTCTTTTGCATGTGGCTATCCAATTTTCCTAACACCATTTGTTGAAGAGACTATCTTTTTTCCATTGGACATTCAGGTCTCAACCAGTACCAATAGACTGGGACCATTCCCTGCATATTTTCAGACCACAATACTTTGAAACTAGAACTCAACCACAAGAAGAAAGTTGGAAAGAACTCAAATACATGGAGGCTAAGGAGCATCTACTAAAGAGTGAATGGGTCAACCAGGAAATTAAAGAAGAATTTAAAAACTTCATGGAAACAAATGAAAATGAAAACACAACTGTTCAAAATCTTTGGGACACAGCAAAGGTGGTCCTAAGAGGAAAATATATAGCAATACAAGCCTTTCTTAAGAAATAAGAAAGGTCTCAAATACACAGCTTAACCCTACACCTGAAGGAGCTGGAGAAAGAACAGCAAATGAAGCCTAAACCCAGCAGGAGAAGAGAAATAATAAAGATGAGCAGAAATCAATGAAATAAAAACCAAAAGAACAGCAGAACACATCAACAAAACTAGGAGCTGGTTCTTTGAAAGAATTTAAAGATTGATAAACCCCTGGCCAGACTAATCAAAAAGAAAAAAGAAAGGACCCAAATTAATAAAATCATGAAGAGGAGAGATCACATCCAACGCCAAAAAAATACAAACAATTATAAGAACATGTTATGAGCAACTATACACCAGCAAATTTGGTAATCTGGAAGAAATGGATGCATTCCTAGAGACATATAAACTACCAAAACCAAACCAGGAAGAAATAGAAAACCTGAACAAACCCATAACCAGTAAGAGATTGAAGCTGTCATCAAAAATCTCCCAACAAACAAGAGCCCAGGGCCAGACAGCCCCAGCGGAATTCTACCAAACATTTAAAGAAGAATTAATACCTATTGGTGTATTCTATTCACTGTTGCTGCTCACATGCACCTAGTAGGCACTTGATAAATAAATACTTGTTGAATAATTGTGGTTGTTATATAAATTAATCCAACCACTTGTCTAAGGGCACAATTAAGCAAGAGATGTCCTCACTGACTTTTCAAAAAACGATTTTACTATTTTTAATGACTTAATCTGTTTTAACATCTTCCCATATCACCTTCTTAAAAAGCTTTTTGTGAGGAGTACAGTGCTGCACAATGCCATTTCAAGCAGTCTAGACTCCCACACCACTGCAAATTCTTTACTCATCCAACTACTATTTACATGTGGGTTTATGGGGATCAATCCTTTTCAAACCTACATATATGCCTTTCTAGGTCATTGGGGAAATGATTTAATTCTCTTAATAAAGAAGTCAAGGGGCACCTGGGTGGCTCAGTGGTTAAAGCCTCTGCCTTCGGCTCAGGTCATGATCTCAGGGTCCTGGGATCGAGTCCCGCATCGGGCTTTCTGCTCAGCGGGAGCCTGCCTCCTCCTCCCCTCTCTCTCTGCCTGCCTCTCTGCCTACTTGTGTCTGTCTGTCAAATAAAAAAAATAAAAAAAATAAATAAAAAATAAAAGAAGTCAAATGTACTGGAATAAAAAAAAGAACACCAAGTAGGTAATGCTCACCTTTGTTCTTTTCATGGGTGTTTGCATAACGACTTTCTACAGCATTAAATTTGCAGCTGTAGCAAAAAAGAAGCTTCTTTTTTAAAGTCTCATATTACTTGTGTTATACTTGAGGAGCTATTTTTTTAAAACATCTATCCAGTGTGGGTTGGAATAGAGTAACAACAATCCCATTGGTATAAACTTTCACTATGTTAGGTTAGTAAAAGCCATAAAGTGAAAATATGAATAATCCCCAAATAATTCTCATTGCATTTTAGAATTCATTACATTCCTTTTTAAATCTGTTTGTCTTTTTAATTATCTGTTGTTTGTGTTAATAATAAAATTAGTTTCTGAGTAACATATTGGTTGGGCAATTCTTGAGAACAGGAACCGTATCTTACTCATTTTGAAACAACCAAAGCACTTCACCCATTGCAGTGCATACAGTAAGTCCTAAATAAATTTTGAACAAATATATCCTTGGATGAATGAGGAAAAGATGTAGAAGATGTAGAAGAAAACAGTGACTAAGGCAATCATAATAAAAGATCAGTAATACTTTTCATCTTAAATTACGAATATTTGATATTGGGTCCTACAAAATAAAAAAGGCAGAAATCATCCACTTTCTCAAGCTATCCCATGAAATACTATTTCAACCTACATTCTAATTGAAACTTCCAAATGAACATTTTACATTAGGCTATTATTATAGTAAGTTGTTTAATAAGCTATTTTATTTTGCTTTGCTTTTCCAGACTTAGGACTTTACACAAGATAGAAAGGGTCCTCAAATATGTTTCCGTTTATTCATATGAATTGTCATTTTATTGAGACCACATTTTCCAACAAAAACATAATTTATTTGATTGTGCTTAGGGAAAGTCAGAGAGTGGGATTCAAAGGATTGTAGAAGGAATGATAATCAGCTATCCTTCTAAACTATTTGTGTATATACATATACATTGCAGCCAAAGATACAAAATAAATGAAAAATTTCCAAAGTAGGTGTACATTTCTTAACAAATCATAAATAAAATTTTATAAGGATGCCAAATATTTATTTTTTTGTATCTTAACGTGCTATCCTTTGTAAAAGCAAAGCAAATTTTAATAACCAATGGTTTTCTACTGAAACAATATTTTCTTTTTACCATCCCCGATTAAACTAAACATTATTATTTCTGGTATAAATGAATTTTTTAAAAAATTTTGAAGAGATCTTGTTAAAATATGTATTTTAAGTAACTGTGTGTCCTTAGAATCCAATTATACATTAGCAGGAAGAACTTGGAACAGTTTATATCTCAGATTTGTAAAAGCATGAAAATAATAATATGTGAACTGCTAACCTTGAGATCTCATGAACTCCAGGATCTTCCTGAAGACTCTATGCTTCTGAAAACATGTTTTCAGTCTGTTGATATCTCCTTATTTTTTCCTTAAAAAAGAAAACATACCTCAATATGTCATATAAGGTTATATTTGCAAAAAGTACAGCTAGCTACATGATATAAATATAACGTGACACAGGAAAATCAATAGGAATCCTAGAATACAAACAAGGCATTAAATATAGAACTCAATATTCACAGTGTATATAATTTAGCAGAAACAATATCCATCCTAGAAGAAAGTAGCAAATTTCTAATCAATAAACTAATTTTACTATGTGTAAGAAGTTAAAGATATTCCATCTTGTTAATCACCATTACACTAGATTCAATAACTTTCTGGTTTCCAGGAGATTCATATCTTCAAGACACATAAGAATCCAGGAAAATCAACCAGAATGTCATAGCTATATAGTTGGTAGCAATCACAATGAATATTTATTATGTTTTTTTATTTGTTTAAAGGAAACTATTTAATAATAAAATTAATTCAAACAGTTATATGTCCTGGTTTGAAGATACCTTAGGCTTTAAGAAAATAATTTAAACAAATTATTCTTTAAAAGAAACATGCTTTAAGAAAAATCTTATTTTTAAAACTATAGTGCCATTATTCAAAATTTTTAGTGCCATAATTTTAAAAGGTAATGAAATTCTCACAATAATTATACACTCGTATTTTTCTCAAACTAAAATGTATATAATCACTTTCTCTAAAGAATTAATGAACCTTCCCTTCTAACATGCTGAAGTAAATCATTATGTCATATACAAATGTAAAAGTTTTCCTTAAAGATGGGGTAGAGAAGTTTGTGAAGGGTGGTTCATTTAGTATTTCCACAACAGCCAGAAATGAACCATCATAGACCATTGCCAATGAAAATAGGTAGTATGGAAATACCGTACATGAGTTACTTGAATGAAGAAATAGCCCGAGCAAACGACATGGGCTGATGTTTTTCAGACAAGCTTAAAACATAAAAATCTTTAAGGGAAAAAAAAAAAGATCACAGGAACACTGTATCTCTGGGAGCCTCTTTCTTCCTTTAACTTTATGTACATCTGTGTGTATCCATCGATTTAGAACAGACTAGAATATCCACGGTACTCACTCACAAGTGTTATCAAATTATGGTCAGAATTACAGAGTTAAGCAGAGGTTATTGGGTATAGCTTGGTTCTGATGAAGTGTAGATTCAGCAGAAGAACTTGAGAAATTCTGGAGACATTGATTTAAAATTGTTTTAAGTATAATTTTAAATATCTTAAACTCTGTTGCGAACATTATACCCTCAAATGATGACATACTAAAGAACACTGAAACAATTACTTTTATCACCTGTTGCACTCATTTTGAGGAATATTTCAGAGTACAACTTTTTCTGTCTTCTGTTAATGATATATACATATATACCTATATACATATTCTAAGATTGCAGGTCGAGTAATTTAAAAACAATAAGTATATTAACAGATCTACCAGTTTGTAGTATGTCCACTGAATAAAGACTTTAAAAATTATTTGCAATTAAAACAAAGCACCAAAAATAGGTTAGATGCTGAGTTGAGTATGTCTATAAATGTCATTCATAATCTCAACTCAAACTTTCTTGTTAATGAAAATGAATTCCATAGTATTTAAGTGTCATTTTTATTTATTGAGGTATTGTTCAAGATTTTATCCTAAAAATAAAAACTTTATTTACTGTTCTTAAAAAAATGGGGAAACTGTGACCTGGTTCAGTCTCCCTATTTTATAAGTATGAAAACTTATTGCTATGTATTTGACATGTAGATAACTCTGAAGTAAGAGACGAAGTATTTTTTGACCAATATTGTTAAAACTGGAATTGAAAACATATTGTATTTTACAACCAAATAAAAGACTTTTTATAGTCATTGAGGGTTGTCTATTGAGAAAAGCAAAAGTATTTAAATTTACACACCTGCAATTACCCTATAATTTAAAAAGAGGACAAAGGACCCTTGGTAATGGAAAAAAGGAACCCAAACTTTGACCTGTTTGAAAGTCAAATAAATAAGCATATATTTGACGGACAGGATTGACCCAAACTGAGGCCAGTCAAGCCCCTGGGAGGAGTTCATCACAAAAGAAAAATAATTCTGGAAGAGCAAGTAATTTTCAATGTGAATTTCCAAGATTGGGCATCTGAGGATCAGTGCTAATTCTGGGTGCAACATGCAATAGTTATCGCAGGAAACCATTCCAACACCGCACCTTTGTTCGCTGGATGTGACCTGGGGACATGGGCTGTATGACACTGTGTAAGGAAGTATGTGTGCACTTACGTGAGAGAGAGAATTTGAAGAGTTGTGCTAAGATCTGTGGATCAATAGCACTCACCCTGAGACCCAGGCAAATTTGTAAAGGAATAATCCCTAAGTAACGTATCTCAGAAAGATCCAGGGGCTGTTACTCTTCCTCTGCAAGCCCTCTGGGCACAACAGTGGTGATGTTCACAAGTTTGGTAGAGACTGCCATTTTCCTGAAATGCTATGTCTTTGAAAAATCACAACCCAAGGTGAACACCCCTAGCATACCCTGTTAAAGTTGTACTAGGGTTGGATCCCAGTCCTACGGATGGCCTTAGCAGTGTCAAGTGACATCTGGGACTGATTTGTGGATAAATATAACCATCCCAGGCACTAAGTAAAATATTCAAGGAGAGTGAAGTTTATGGAAGACTAGGAACATGTACACTAAAGTAAATGCAACATGATTTGTCTTCATAAATATTTGTGGTGGTCATCTAAAGAACCCCGGTTTATAAGTTCTATGAAAAATAATATTGACATAAAACCATGTTATCATTTAGGAATGTGTACCTAACATTCATGATTCACATCTGATCTTTTCTAATACCTGGGATTCAATTAAGAAATTTTCTGAGACCTAGTTTTTCACTTTTAGAAATTTCTGCAATCTTGCGGAGCTAGAGGGAATGGTGAGTACCACCTCTCCTTGTGTCAGGTTCCTTAGTTTTCAGGTTGCCCGAGGACATTACTGCAAACCATCCTACCAATCCCAGCAGCCATATGTAGTGGCAAGGGTAAAAGCACTCTCCCGTGTTTGTCAACATTTTCTCTAAAGGGCACCTTTAGTAGGTCAGTGAGGCACAAAGCTCATGTTGGTGTTTCAATCAATAGTCATGGCAGACTTCACTGAGGTTACTGAAGGTCACATCTCAGTAGTAGCCTTAACTGAGCTATCAGATCAGCTTGTATTATTTGTAATGGATGATTCATTGATTAACTATAAGTAAATATAACTTGCTTAAGACACTCTTACCTTGTTCCTCTCTTCAAAAAAAAACTCTTCCAAATGCCAAGTTTTTGAGAATAAACTTAACCCTCTCAGGATCACAGAATTTGGACCCCCAAACCAACCATTTCTTCATGTCTGGAAGCCTGCTTCATGTCAGTTTCAGTATGTCAAAAGGAAATGTCACTTTGTGAACACAAGTGAAGAAATGTGAATTTGCTCTTCCCTATTTCTAAGGTGACAATAAGACTTATAAGTTCAGTGCAATAGTTTAATTGCATTTGCAACTGCATCTTAAAATATAGTATTGCATAATTAATATGCCGGCAACCAGCAAAAGCATCATTCTCTCTGAAGGACTGCTTCTTGACACAAAGGGCCTAGGGCAGAAGAATCTAGCAGGAAAGACCAATCTGCCATGTAAAGTTTGAAGCTATCTTTCCAAAAGAACAAAACCCCATGGAGAGACACATTGATTCTACTTAGAATTCTTTAAGTAACAATATCACTCTAATTTCGTGTCTTCACAAACACATGTTGAAGTACAGTTATCAAAACCCATGCAGCATCTACTCATTTACCAAACAACAAAAAGTGAATTTCAGTGCTTCCTAACATGTGTTGAACTATAATAAGGTAGTATCACGTGTCCAAAAAAGTTTCCTAAAATGATAACACTTAAGTCATTCCATTTCAGTAAAGTGGATAAGAGTTATCAAAACAAATTAAATCAGTCCTAATTGGGCTGTTTATGTATCAGGTAGTCACCATGGGAATCTTCCACTCAGTCAGCTGTGCTCGGAAGTTTACACACATTTCTTTAGAACTGTTCAGATGGATCACTGTTTAACACATGGAGAAAGATATAATGATAATTATGGGAAATTTGCAAAAATTGTAAGAAAATCTAGGTAAAAATTTAGGTAAAAATTTTAAAACCTAAAGAATTACATAGTTTTCCAGAAAATTTCCAATTAGTGAAATTGACCCAAAAAGACATACAAATTTGGTAAAACAGATTAAAAGAGATTAAAAAGGTGTTTCAGGCTCTATGATCACAGGGGCAGTTAGGGTTAACAGGTTACAGGGAAGCCTTAATGAACCTTTATAACAAAAGGTTGCAAGTTGCTTAGAGCACACACTCCACCACCAAAGGTGTTTCTCAACCTTTACATATTTTTCACTCCCCCCACTCATGTTCACACTTGCCACTCACCCAGTGTAGGGTCTGTTATTCAACATGGTAGACTATCCTTTCATATAGACTCACCTCCAGGACTTTTCTCTCTCCTCTTCGGATCAGCGTGATGAAAAAAAAAAAAAAAATCACTTGGTTAAATTCAGCTCTCCTACTATGAAACTACCAGTAGTCACTGAACAGATTACTATGATTAGAGAAAATGTAGGATACTGCATCCCTGGCAAGACTATTGATATATGATCACAGACTTCAACCCAATGACACCGCCAACAGAAGCACCTTTGCTTCTTTGCAACTCTCCAACATTTCTTCCCATCTCCCCCTCTCAGTTTATGATACTGCTTCTAAGAAAATTGGAAGAATGATTTAATTTCCTCTTCTTATCTATATCCTACATACTCTTGATATTTATACCCATATAGTCAGCCTTCAATCCTCTTATAATGGAGAAACTTCTCTCCCACCTAAGATCAATCCTTTCTCTTGGATTCTATTTCCTCTCACCAATTTTAGGTCTTTGCTGCTTCAGTTATTCCCTCATGTTCCTGCATCACCATTCCCCCTTCCCTCCCATTTTACTGGATTAGTCCCATCTGTCTGCAAACTTAACCAAAGAGGTGAAAGACCTGTAATCTGAAAACTATAAAACACTGATGAAAGAAACTAAAGATGACACATAGAAATTGAAAGACATTCCATGCTCATGGTTGGAAGAACAAATACTGTTCAAGTGTATATACTACCAAAAGCAATCTACACATTTTATGCAATCCCTATCAAAATACCTACAGCATTTTTCACAGAACTGGAACAAGCAATCCTAAATGAGTATGGAACCGCTAAGACCCCAAATAGGCAAAGCAATCTTGAAATAAAAAAACAGAACTGGAGATATCACAATTCTGGACTCCATATTATGTTACAAAGCTATTGTAATAAAAACAATATAGTACTGGCACAAAAACAGACATAGGTCAATGGAATAGAATAGAAAATCCATGGGGCGCCTGGGTGGCTCAGTGAGTTAAGCCTCTGCCTTCAGCTCAGGTCATGATCTCAGGGTCTTGGGATCATGCCCCACATCGGGCTCTCTGCTCAGCAGGGAGCCTGTTTCCCCCTCTCTCCCTTCTTCTCTGCCTACTTGTGATCTACAAATAAATAAATAAATAAAATCTTTAAAAAAAAAAAGGAAAAAGAAAATCCAGAAATAAGCCCACAGTTATATGGTCAATTAATTTCAACAAAGGAGGAAAGGAATATACAATGGAAAAAAGAAGTCTCTTCAACCAATGGTGCCTGGAAAACTGGACAGCTACAGGCAAAAGAAGGAAACTGTACTACTTTTTTACAGTATACACACAAATAAACCCAAAGTGGATTGAACACTTAACTGTGAAAACTGAAACTATAAAAATCCTAGAAGAGAGCACAGGCAGTAATTTCTCTGAGATCAGTTGCAGCACTATTTTTCTAATTACAAAGCTAAGAAAATAAAAAGCAAAAATAAAATGAGACTACATCAAAATAAAAAGCTTCTGTACAGCAAAGGAAACAATCAACAAAACTAAAAGTCACCTTACCAAATGAGAGGAGATATTTGCAAATGACATATCCAAAAAAGGATTAGTATCCAAAATATACTTAAAAAACTGATAAAATCAACACCCAAAAAACAATCCAATTTAAAAATGGACAGAAAACATGAACAGACATTTCTCCAAAGAAGACATCCAGAAGGTTGGCAGACACATGAAAAGATGCTCAACATCATTCATCATCAGGGAAATGCAAATGAAAACCACAATGAGATATGACCTCACACCTGTCAGAATGGCTAAAATCAAAAACACAAGAAACAACAAGTGTTGGAAAGGATGAGGGGAAAAGGAACACTTATGCACTGTTGGTGAGAAGGCAAAGTAGTATAGGCACCATGGAAAACAGTATGGAGATTCCTCAGCAAGTTAAAAACAGAACTATCCTACAAGCCAGTAATTGCACTACCCCAAAAAAATACAAAAACACTAATTCAAAAGGATACATACACCCCGATATTGCAGCATTATTTACAATGACTAAATTACAGAAGCAGTCAAAGTGTCCATCAAAAATGAATGGATAAAGAAAATGTGGTATATATACACAGTAGAATATGATTCAACCATAAAAAGGAATGAAATCTTGCCATTTACAACATGGATGGAATTAGAGAGTATTGTGCTAAATGAAATAAGTCAGTCAGAAAAAGACAAATACCAGATGTTTCACTCATATGAGGAATTTAAGAAACAAAACAAACGAGCAAAGGAAAAGAGGGAGAGAAAAACCAGGAAACAGACTCTTGACTATAGAGAACAGATGGTTACCAGAAGAAAGGTGGGTGGGAGATGAGCGAAATAGGTGGAGGGGATTAATAGTGCACTGATCTTGATGAGCACTGAGTAATGTATAGAATTGTTAAATCGCTGTACATCTGAAACTAATATTACACTGTATGTTACCTATTCTGGAATAAAATTAAAAACTTAATTTAAAAAAATCCCTTTACATCAGTTCCCCATCTCATCACTTTATTTCTCAATTCCATTTAATAGCAACTTCCCCAGAGAAGTATTGAACGCCTCCAAATTAGGCTTCATTTTTACAACTCCACTGAAGTAGCACTTCCCATGGTCAGCAGTGAACTCAGATATTGACAAACCAAATGGTAAATTTTCTCTCAAGAGAGTTTGATTCAGATAATCACTTTTTTTTTTTTTTTTTTAACTTGGCTTCTAGGATATCATACACGAAGTAGGCTTTTCTCCTACCTCATCTGCTGCCCTTTCTTAATCTCTTTGCCTAATTTCTTCTCATCTTCCTGACGCTGAAATCCTTTAGTAGATTGAGATGTGATATTTCTTCTCTATTTGACTCTTTCTTACAAAAGCAGATCCAGTTCTATGTCTTTAAATACCACCATTTATTAATGAATCCCCAATTTAGCTTTTAGCTTGAACCCCTTCTCTGGGCTATAGATTCTGATATCCAGTCTATTCCACAGCTCTGCTTGAATGGCTAATATGCTTTTGAAAGTTAACATGTTAATATAATAGTAATAATAGTAATAATGATAATAAAAAGAAAGGAAGGAAGAAATAAAGGAAAGAACGAAGGAAGGAAAGATGGAAGGGAGAGAAAGAAAGAAAATAACATACTCCAGGCTTCCTCCTCCTCCTCCTCCTACTCCAGTCTTTCCCAGTGCAGCAAATGACATCCGTATTTACCCAGTGACTTATAATAAAAACATAGCTCCTAGAGAAATGGCTGATTCTAGGACTCAGGCAAGGAAAACAAAAAATGAACTTGAAGCATCTTATGGTGATGGAAAGAAAGGAAGAGAAAGAAAAAACAGGCACAGGCATGTCAAAAAGATAAAAGAATAAACCTGAAAGAACTTTCAATGACCAAAGTTGGAATAGTTTAAGCAAATAATAATAATAACAGTAATAATAATAATAATGACAGTATTAGATTATAACCAAGAAATAAAATAAATATCTATGAGTCTATACTCATGTAAATAAATAAATAAGTAGGGAAGAAGGAACAAATCTTTCTTACAAGTATTCCAAAATATATACGTAGATCCTTTTTCAGGAAGTGGAGTTTGATCCTCACTCCCACCTTAAGTGTGAGCTGTATTTAAATAAATTGCTTCCAAAGAATAAAATATGGAAAAAAGAAAAAAAAAAAAACTAATGATAAGTTGGAGAAACTTAGCAGATATCATCTTAACCAAATGACAAACATTAATACCACCAGTGACACAGCACGTTAGTATCATCTAGTCCCTCATATATTTGGACAGGAAGAGCACTTCATTCTCTGTGCCTTTCTTATTCCAGATCCACAACCCCCATGTAATGAGAAAACACCAGAGAAAACTAAAATTGCCGAACATTCTAACTATGCTCTTCAAAAAGTAATGGTCCTAAAAAAACAAGAGAAGACTGAAAAAAACAGAGGAAAATAAGAAGACATGATAACTAAATTCGACATGATATTCTTGAGTAGATCTTATTAGAAAAAGGATATCCATGAATACATCTGAAAAGAATCTGTAGTTTAGTTAATATAATAATAAGTGGTAACAATGTTAATTTCTTTGTCTGGACAAATGTACCATGGTTATGTAAGATGTTAACACTGGAGGAAGCTGAGCAAAGGATTTAGGTAATTCTGTGCTATTTTTACAACTTTGCCATGAATCTAAAATTATTCCAAAATATAAAGTTATTTAAAAGCCTCAGAATTATTCATGTTTATCTGTTTTTCTTAAACCTCACATCTAAACATCAGCATCTCCCATCAGCTCTACCTTCAAGATTTATTGTCAATCTGAGCACTTCTCACCAAATCCCACATCTCTCACTTCTACCACTCAACAGTGGTTTCCCACCTGGTCAATGTCTTCTCCATTGATTCCCCATTGCCCATGCACACAAGTGTCAAGCTCTTTGCCAATGGTCTGCATCTGCTCTTCATTCTTTCTAGAAGTCCCCTCTCACTCCAGATATTACATGGCCTAACCCTAACCCTACTATTAAGAATCTATCCTCAAAAAAGTAAAGCACTGGTGGCACCTGGGTGGTGCAGTTGGTTGGGCCTCTGACTCTTGATTTCAGCTCAGGTCTTGATCTTAGGGTGGTGTGATTGAGCCCCGCTTTGGGCTCTATGCTTAGTGTGGAGTCTGCTTGGGATTCTCTCCTTCTCCTCCCTACCATAAACAAATAAATATATCTACATCTATATCTATATCTACATCTATTAGAGAAACAAAAGTAAAGCATTGGAGGAACTGGATGGCTCAGTCAGTTAAGCAACCAACTACTGATTTCAGCTCAGGTCCTAATTTCAGGGTTGTGATATCAAAACCCATGATGGCTCCATGCTGGGTGTGAGCCTGCTTGGGATTCTCTCTCTCCCCACTCCCCCTCAATCTTTTCCAGTAAAGCACCAGTATATAAGGACTTCTTCAAAAGAATATGCATTATAGCCTTGCTTTTGCTGCATAAAAACTAAGCTGAAACAAATGAACACTCGTAGGG